AACAAAAATTTCAAGAAAACAACAACTTAGGATACGCAAATCGAAGTAAAAAAGATTCAATTTGGTTAATACGATTGAAACCATCTACGAGGAGCCTACAAACGATATACACATACGATCAGCGAGAGGGTCTATCCAAAGAAAAGCCAAGCTCATCCTCAAGATGCAATCAACAAAGCGAAAAGACCTGACCACAACGCCCTCGCACTCCGGATGCCATTGTGAGGAAGAAACTGTCATTTGGTCAAAATGGACATCTTTTTTTTTTCGAACGAAATTAAAACCGAGTTTTTTGGCCAAAAACTTGTCAAAATTTATTGTTCCTGAGGGTCCAGCATTTGTAAAATGCAGGACCCCCTGGCTGTACATGGACCTAGCTTGAGACCAAGTAAGGGCATACTCACACGAGGACCAAAAGACCCAAAATCTCAAAATTTGAGTCATTTTTCAGGTCACGCTGGAGAGGCTCGCTACCCAAATGCCTCAAACGGTAACCCTTCTGTCAGCGGCCTGCGGGGCCCCGGGCATACCCTTTTTGAGACCACCTCCGGAGGTGGTCTCAAATTACCTTTCGTTTTTTTTGTTCTGTTTTTCCGAGTTGAAGAGAATCTTGGACGAAGAAGACAACCCGCCAAACAACTGAAAGTGCGACTAGGAACATTTACGTTGTAGTCTTGTAGATCAGGCCCAAGCATTATACTAGTGTGCAATTTCTTGATGTAGCTCAGTGGTTAGAGCACCAGTTGGAAATGCGCATTGTGGTATGAGGTTGCAGGTTCAAAATTGCACAGCCTTGCGCAGGGACACCGGCAGGGCGTTAGAATGACGCACGACTGGACACACACACCCCTGGGCTAACGCATGGTACTATTACAGACACGGTCTGCGCACCACCCGAGGTTCAGTCCATGGGTGTTGTATGCTGGTCTAGACTTCACGTTGGTTGCTGGTTGTTGTTGGCTTTGGTCACTCTGATGATCTCCCCCATCCCAGACATTACACACATTATATCCACTTCTATGGAAGTACATGTGGTAGAACCCTCCAGTTTCATACTCTAGGTCACAGGTTCGAGTCCGGTTTCGAACTTTGGGGGGAGTCCTGTCCGGATAGGCCTGTCTCTACCACATACATCCACACACAAAGATACCACCTAAGATAGCACAACTATGATACATACCATACACACATACTATACACTCACCTTGCAGATGCTCCATGGTGGGGGGCAACGTCTGCTATGAAATCGGGTTCACGTACACATAACGAACATACACATAGCCCGCGGGCACACATCTAAGATACAGAGTACATATACATATTCACAACCATAGGGTTGGGAGAAGGTCACGATCAACTGATAATGATGATAGGCGTTCGATGATAAGTATCCCCCTTAATATCAGCTAAGCATCCCCCTTCATATCAGCTAAGCATCCCCCTTAATATCAACTAGGTCTGTGGTGGGTGAGTAGAGGGCATGAGTCGCTGGCTGGTCTGGATCAACTAATGATGATGATAGGCGTCTCGATGATAAGTGCCCCCTTAATATCAGCTAGACTGTGTGCGACAGACTAGGGTTGTGGGGACGAGTAGAGGGCGTGAAACACTGGTTGGTCTGGATTAACTGACGATGATGAAAGGCGTTTCAAGGATAAGTACCCCGCCTTAAAATCAACTAGGACTGTGGTGGGCGAGTAGAGGGCGTGCGTTACTAGTTAATCAACTTAGGGGCTAGAAGGAGATTGCTTGGGCCTGGCGTTCAAAGTTCTCGTGTGACGAGGCTCATTCGATTCCGCTTCCACCAGGGCTGGGTCATGGCTAGCCCTGGTGCCTGTCACTGCTGTTCGGTCCAAGTTCCCCTCGATAGGGGCAATGGTCCTGAGTGCTGGTCACACTGAGGTAGGATAGTTGAGATAGGGGGTGCGCTAGGAGTATTGATGTGAGGATGGGATGGGAAGGTAGCCTCGTTCCCTCAGGACGACCATGGCTGACCGCTCCTGGCGATCAATGTGTGCCTAGTAACCGGCCTCAACAACACCCTGGTAGAAAGAGCCCACGCAAAACCTTTTCGGTTTTGGCCGCCCAAAGTTCGGTCGTTTGGTACTACCAGCGCAAACAACTTTGCTCTGGGTGAAAGGCGCCTTGGCCACATCAGCCTCGTTCCCTCAGGACGGCCATGGCTGACCGCTCCTGGCGATCAAGGTGTGCATAGTAACCGGCCTCTACAACACCCTGGTAGAAAGAGCCCATGCCAAAACCTTTTCGGTTTTGGCCGCCCAAAGTTCGGCCATTTGGTACTACCGGCCCAAACAACTTTGCTCTGGGTGAAAGGCGCCTTAGCCACATCTCCCTGGCCTGTGTTTACCGGTTCAAGAAACATCTCCCTGGCCTGTTTTTACCGGTTCAAGAATTTGGCACTGTTTCTGTGCCAGATTCAGGAGCCGGTAGGGCCCTTCTTTTATGAATCTGGCGCTGTTATGCGCCAGATTCATGATCCGGTAGGGCCCTTGGAGGGGCGCGTGGGCCTGTAGTACCCCACATGCAAGTCATTGGGCCGGTAGTACCAAACGGCTAAACTTTGGGCGCCCAAAACCGAAAAGGTTTTGGCATGGGCTCCTTCTACCTATTATCCCATCCATCTTTTCTTTTGGTCCTCTTGCGTGTGACCGGGCGTACTTGCCCTGAATGCGCAGTGTCAGGGGCGCGAAGTCGTCCTTTCTGGACGAGGTCCGCCCGTGTGACCACCACACGGGGACCAAATGCCTCAAAAAAGCCGAACCAAATGCCTCAATTTTTTGAGACTTTTGGTCCCGGTGTGAGGGCACGCTCAGGGCATACTCACACGGGGACCAAATGAACCAAAAATTTGAGGCATCTGGGTACGGTTATTTGGGTCATTTGGTCCCTGTGTGGTCACACGTGCGGACTTCGTCCAGAAAGGACGAAGTCGCAACCCTGACACTTTGCACTCAGGGCAAGGTCGTGTGACCGGGGGGCACCAAAGAAAAGAAAAACAAAAAAAAGAAGAAAGAAAAAAAAAACAACTTTGGCTGGTTGTCTTATTCTTCTACGATTTTCTTCAAATTGAGGAAAGAAAAAGAAAAAAGCGTTTGGTCATTTGAGACCACCTCTGGAGGTGGTCTCAAAAAGGGTACCCCCGAGGCCTCGCAGGCCGCTGACATTTGGTCACTATTTGAGGCATTTGGGTATGGGGCCAACCCCGTGTGACCACAAAAATGCCTCGAACTTTGGGATTTTGGTTCATTTGGTCCCGGTGTGAGTATGCCCTCACACTGCCGTAGTATAAATGGGACGTTTCAGGTCACACTGCCTTCACACCGCGTTCCCATTGCTGCTGTTTGGGGTTTCCAGTCACACAGAAGTAACCCCAAATATAGAACGTACATGTTTCCTTTTCAACTTTGCATTCATTTACAAAAATTAAATAAAAAAAGAATAAGGATTTTGCGGTAACCTCTGGAGGTTGCGAATGGGGTGTTTGGGGTCGGAACCATTGTGTGTGACCTGAGTATGCTCTCAGCGCCCCGCCACAGCACTGTCGAAAGGAAAAAAGTACGACTGCATGTTTCCGTACAATGGCAGGATGCATCTGTTCCTATTTATAAGAACAGATGCATCTTACCACGTTCTGTGGAAGATGCATACTTTCTTTTTCGGTTTGAAAACGGAATGTGGCCATCCCCATGAACTACTGCTGGTGATGGGGCGACCCCAATGAAGGGCCTCGCCACACCACTCTCCAAATCTGAAAAAGACAAAAATGCTGCGAGCACATCTGGCCTTGATCTAGTGGGATGTTCATTCTCATTTTGCACATTTCGGAGAGTGATGTGGGGACCCCAATGAATTCCTCAGATCAGCCCATCTGCGACTCCAATGACTCCCGTTTGGCGTTTGCCGTTCTTACGTTTTTTACATATTTCTAATTATGGGATTTCGGCGTTTCGCCTAATGATCAGGTTCAATGAACTACTCCCAGCAGCCCAGCTGCGACTCCCGTTTGGTGTTTGCCGTTTGCCGTTTGGCATTGGCCTGCATTACCTCTCCCATGATACGACGGCCGTCTCTCTCTCCCTTTCCCCGCCACGCTTGTGCTTCCGCTCTCCTTCGGTTCTTTTTTCGATTTATGCGTGTCATCCTTGCTTAGGGGCCATGCTAATCTTCTCTGTATCGTTCCAATTTTAACGGATGTCCCGAAGGACATCGGTTCTTTTTTAGCTCATCCAGCGTCTGCTTTTGACCCCTTGCCTCTCCTTTCGCGCCTCTCCCTGTATCTGACATATCGTTTTTTTTTTTTGGGAGAGAGAGAGAGAGAGAGAGAGAGAGAGAGAGAGAGAGATTCGCCGTATTGATGTTGATGGAGTGATAGGTCTTC